CCATACGATGGTGAAGCACGAGGAATTCGCGCATCGGTTGTGAAAAGTATCAAGTTGAAAGCTTAAATTGTTGTATGAGCATTGTCTTTGTTGTTTTTTTAAATAAAAAATTTGTTTTATATACTGCTTTTTTTACACCCTTCCTACATGCCTCCTCCCCCTCTAGTTCTTTTCCTACCACACAAACTTGTAATCAACTTTCATACATAGTGGTTTGGGGGCTGTACTGATGATTCCCGCTCCATACCACATCATATACTGCCTATGTTTGCAGCTTAGGGATGAAACACAGACAGCAAAACCTATATATTACTTTTCACATACTCTTAATACATGTCCCATATCTTTCTCACAAAATATGCACCTATACAACCTTGTTTTTCTTTTCTTTCCCGCACTTCAAAAAATCCCTACAATAACAAAACTTTCAGTAGCCGACCACAACTAAACTCTTTGTTTTCAAAGAAGGAGAAATCTGAGGTCTGACTCAAACACAGTTTCGGCTTCGGTGATTTTAAAAGGCGCTAGTCGCACTGCATGAATTAAACCGTACTCACTTTTTAATGCAGCTAGAATGGCTCAGTTCTTTCTGCCAATGTTAGGATCAGATTTATCAATATTTTTACATTCTTGGAGGTTTAGTTGGTAATTTAGTATGGGAATCGGTGACATTTTGAAGTCTCTGCAACATTCGGCGACGTCGCACAATTTGATCTACCCCATCTGGTCCAAATCTAATCCACAGCTGATTTTTCACACTAAAATTCTAAACTGAGGGAGACCATGAAGGGTATGTTATGCTTCAACTGAGAAGTTCGAGTTACCTTCGAAGAGCATCTGAAAAATCACAATAAAAAAACTTTCAGTAGCCGACCACAACTAAACTCATTGTTTTCAATGAAGGAGAAATCTGAGGTCTGACTCGAACACAGTCTGAGCTTCAGCTATTTTACAAGGCGTTGGCTACACTGCATGAATTAAACCGTACTCACATTTTTTT